ATTTACTTACCATCCCTCAGAATTTAAGATGTTTGTGGGTCCCCACTGCTGCCACTGTGGGGTTATTTGGGGGCGAGGGTATAAGAGAACAAAGAGAAATATAGAAAAGAAAAATGCGGATTTCTCTACCTAAGCATTAGGAGATCCTTTCCCCATTCCTCAAGTTAGAATTAGAGGAGCTAGTTAGTCTTCGCTGATGCCTTAATTCTGGGTTTCAGGCTGTCTGGAGACCAGACTGGGGGATATTGGAGGCAAACAAATCATAAATTTATCACCAGTTCAAGGTATTTGAATTCTGGTCTTCTCCAATTTACTTTTCAGAGATCTCAAATAGCTATTCCCTGCATTCTGGTTTATTCAAGCTGCATTCGGTGAGAGAGCTTATTTTCACTGCCCTAAAAATCCTCTGTGCTCTGCTTATTTGTATCCCCTGCCCTTGGCAACCACTGCTTTTTTCATTCTGCAGTTTTGCTTTTTCCAGAATGCCATGTAGCTGGAATCACACAGTGTGTAGCCTTTTCAGATTAGCTCCTTTCACTCAGATATATGAACTTAAGATTCCTCCATGTCATTTCATAGCATCATAGTTTATTTCGTTTTAGCACTAATATTCCATTATGTGGATATACAGACCATTCATTTTGAATTTAAGTCTACCATCACACCATTTCTTTTCTTTTCTTTTTAAATTTTATTATTTGACAGAGAGAGAAAGAAAGAGAGAGATAGGGAGGGGGAGAGAGAGCACAAGCAGGGGGAGTGGCAGGGGGAGCAAGAGAAGCAGAGTCCCCACCAAGCAGGGAGCCCGATGCTGGGCTTGATTCCAGGACCCTGGGATCATGACCTGAGCCGAAGGGACTGAGCCATCCAGGCGCCCCATACCTTTTGTTTTCTATTTCTTTATGTTTGCATCTTCTTTTGAACTAAATCTTTTGCTTGAGATTCCATTTTATCTTCACTAATAGCTTATCAGCTTTATTTTGTAGCTTAAACTTTTTTCTTACCTGTTCCTCTAGTGTTTACAATATACATATTTATCATAATTTACCATTAAATTGCTTCATGTCCAGTGTAAGAACTTAATATATTTCCATTTTCTCATTAATTTTTTTTGATTACTGCCATACATTTTATGTTGCTATGTTTTGAAATCCGTAATACATTATTTTTACTTTAGTCAATTATCTTTTAAAAATTAAAAAGTGAGAAAATAAAGTCTTTTTTAGGAACTCACACATTTACTATTTCTGACATTTCCCATTCCTTTGTTTAGATTCAAGTTTCCATTTGGTGATATTTTCCTTTCACTTGAGGAACTTACTTTATCTTGTATTGATGGTCTGCTGGAGATGAATTCTTGCAGTGTTCTTCTTCTGGGCAAGTTTTATTTAGCCTTCATTTTTGAAATATATTCTAAATATAGAATCTAGGTTGACAGTTGTTTTTAGCACTTTGAGAATGTCATTTATCATCTGGCTTACATAGTTTCTTAAGAATATTCTGAAATTATTCTTTCTTTGTTCCTCTGTTTAATTTTTCTCTGGTTCATGTTAAGACTTTATATTATTATCACTACTTATTGGCACTTTGTTTGCAATATGTCTTGGTGTTGTTTTCTTTGTGTCAATCTTACCTAGGGTTCACTGAGTTTCTACAATCTGTGGGTTATAGCTTTTATCAAATGAAAGAAAAATTTGGCCATTATTGTATCTTCAAACATATTTTCTGCCCCGGCTTCTTGCAGGGACTTCTTTTATTACATTTAAATTAGAGTGCTTCATATTTTCCCACAGGATACTGTGGATATGTTTCTTTAAAAAATCTTTTTTTCCCCTCTCTGTGCTTCATTTTGGATACATTTATGCTGCATCTTCAAGAACACTGACCTGTTTTTTCTGTTAATTGCATCGAATGACATTTTCACTTCAGATATTATAATTTCCATCTCTAGAAGTTCTTTTTGGATTGTAAATATATTCTCATATAAAAGTAGTTAGTAGTTTCAACATGCTTGTGTGCTAATTTCATTTCTGGGTCTGTTTCTATCAACTGATATTTTCCTGCATTCAGTGCTTTATTGGAAATTTTGGCCATGACGAATTTTATGTTGTTCAAGGGTTTTTTGTTTTCCTTTGTTGCCAATAAAGTTACTTGGGTCCATTTTTTTTTTTTCTTTTAAGGCTTGTTTTTAAGCTTTGTTAAGGAGCATACAGGTTAGCCTTTATTTTAGGGATAGTTTATTCCCACTATGACGCTATGGTCTTTTTGGACTGCATATATTGATTCCAAAAGGAGTCCCCACTCTAGCTGGTTGAAACTCATACCCCACAGCCCCATGTAAACTCTGAGAACTATTTGTTCACAGCTGCCCCAGATGCTTTGCTTGACCTCAGGCATTTCATCCTATATGCATACATCTTAGTACTCATCTAAAACTTAAGGGGACATTGTGTGTAGATTTCTGGAGGCTTTTTCTGATTAGCATGTCTTCTTCAGTACTCTGCCCTCCAACTTCTGGCTTCTATTCATTAGTACTAGCATCAGAGTTTAGCAAGGTTAAAAAAAAAAAAAGTGTTGTATTTCCTTATATAATCCCTCCATATTTATACTATCATAGCTGAGAATTTTCCTTACTTTGAAATTTCCCTTTCAAGTCTTTCCCGGTTATATTTTAGGGGATTCCAAAATTTTGTGGTGTACTGGTCTTGCTATTTAAATACCAGCACATATATAATGGCAGTGAAAGAAATACAGAATGTAGACAAGAAGGCAATATTAAAATCACACACCTCCTTCATAGTATTCTAAAAAAGCTGAATCAGTTACTCTAAGGATTACTGGGTAATGACTAGTTAGGATTTCAAAATTTCACTAGACAAAATAATATTTTGTTGTAATTAGGTAGGAGAAAATTCAAATGCTATTTTAAGTCTCCCTCAAGATTAAAACATGAATGAATTAGCACTACCCTTAAAATTTAGCATTAAGATAATAAAATGGTTACCATGAAGAAGAAAGCAACATTTTCAAGTTTCCAAATATCAGTCCAAATACCAAAGCTATACAAAACCCAACCAATCAATCAAACAAAAACAAATGAAAATGTAATAAAATTTCATTTGTGTTCACCACACTTCAGTTTTGCTGTGCTCAAGCTTTTTGGAGAAAGAAAATGACACCATCAAGGTTTTATTTCCACAGCATTGCAATCTTAAAGTGAAAACATGACAACAAGGTGCTGCTTTACTCTAATAGTGTTTATCTGCATCTACTAAATTCAATTTATGCATCAACAGTGAAATCAAACTATAATTGAATTTTATGGAATATTTTAAACATATAGAGAACAATATAATGACCACCTGGACCCACCACTCAGTTTTGTCAAATCTTAACATTCTCCCACAGTTCCCTCAATCTAAAAGGAATAATTCAGATCTATGGCACTGAACCCTCTTTACCTTCCGTGCTCCTATTTCTATCTCTCCTCAGGGGTAGCCACTATACTGAATTCCGCAGTTATCATCCTTTAAGTATCGCTTCTTATTTTACTACATGTGTATGTGTAACTGTTTCATTGTCTTTAAACTCCATATAAACAATGTATTGTAGGAATCATTCTGCAACTTTTTTTGCTTAATGTTGCTTCTGATATTCACAAATATATGATTTATCTGTTACAGAGATTTTACTGTATGCAACTACCATATATCTTTTTTAATGGACATTCAGGTTGCCTCCAATATTTCACTTCTACAAACCATACTTTTGTTAAGATTGTTGTAGACAGGCTGCAGGGGAGATTGTTCACAATACATGCCTAGAAAAAAATGGTTTTAGTGATGGATATTTATACATCTATTCTTAACTTGATGGTAGCAAACTGTTCTCTGAAGTTGTACCAATAAAGACTACCAGCAGAAGAGTATAAAAGTTCCATTTGGCTACACAATTGCAGGCACTTAGCCTTGTTAAATTTTATGTTTTTTTCCTGTAGTGATGGATAAGAAACAGTTTCTTACATAGTTTTAACTGGCCTCTCTCCCTGGTTACTAGTGATGTTGAGTATCTTTTCATTGAAGTTTGTTGTACATTCAGGTTTCATATAGTCAGAAAGCTTTCAGTGAAGGTGGGGGAGGACAACTTATATGTAATAAACAATTTAAATAAAAAAAGGTTCCATAGTTAAATTCTAACCTTTGGAGCTAAGGGTGTAGGTACATAAGAACTGTAGGTTCTCATCAGAGTGAGCAATCAATGCGGTGTAAGACAGAGGAATGTGGAATTAGGCCAGTCCTTGAGCACTAAGATTTGAGCAGGTGGAGACAGTGGAGAGCCCCCTAGACATATATACTGAACACCGTAACTACTGAATGGCATTCTCTTTAATTTACACTTCACCTCTATGGGTGATATTTCTCTTCAGTCACTTTGGAGGTGAAAGTATTTTTAGTTATGTTTGCAACTTAGTAATGTATTAGTTACTGCTTAAAGAAAAGTTTTCAGAATTTTTTTGTGGTACTCAAAAGCTACATACTAAAGCACATTTTAAGTGGCAGGAATTATAAATCTAATCTAGAGTTTTCTTTAAATCACCACTTTAATGAAATGATATGCCATCTAAAACTTATGCAGCTCTAAGAACATCTTACCTTACTTAGCATCTGTTATATTGCTTCAAATACAGTGGACACACAAAAAGTCATTGTAGAATGAAGGAATATTGTTTACTTCAAAATGAGTAATTCATTTCTCCCCCTTTTCTTTCTTACCTGCTTTTTTTTTAATTAAAAAAATTTTTTTTTAATATTTTATTTATTTATTTGAGAGAGAGAAACAGAGATAGTGAGAGAGAGCACAAGTGGGGAGGAGAGGGAGAAGCAGGCTCCCCGCAGAGCAAGGAGTCCGATGTGGGACTTGATCCCAGGACCCGAGGATCATGACCTGAGCCGAAGGCAGACACTTAACCGATTGAGCCACCCAGGCGCCCTCTTTCTTACCTGCTTTAACTGAAAATGGCTTTTCCAATAGAAATATTGTTTGTTTCCAGTGTGTTCTGGCACTCTGGGGGCCCGTGGAGAACACGACCTGCATTGGTAGAGTTCAAAAGTATCTGATTTTTAATATCATGCTACATTAATCTACTCCATCAAATACAAGCTCCAATTGCTTACAACAGCAAAATGCTTATGATCAAATACCTTGGGGCACAAAAATAAAATACAATGTATTTCACATAATTAATTCTTATGAGAAAACTCATGATACTTACCCTGCTGTGACAATCCTTCTCAAAATATATATCAAAGTAGCCAGCAATTGCCTATTAAAAGAAAAAAAGGGAATATAAATAATTATTAAACTAATTACATGACATAACAATTAATTATTCAGTATTTCAAGACATGGCAACAAGAAACCATTTCAAAGACTAGATACCTCTTAAATTTATGACAGGCCACTATTTTTTCCTGGAAAAGATGTTACATGTAAAAATAAATTAATATAATTTGGCTTTCCCCCACAGAAACAATATAATAATAAGGGCAACAAGGCTAATCAAATAATCAATATGTGTTTTATGAGAGAAATGACTGTGGTAGACTACTGAAAAGTGAGAGACCACATTAAGGACGAGGCCTCAGCCAGCCCCTACCTGACCCATGCTCTCCCAAAGAGAGGCCGCTGTGCAAGCTGAGCCATCTTGGAGCTCTTTGCTCCAGTCAAACCAGACAACTGCAGCAGCCTGAGAGACCCAGGGAGAAACCAGAAGAGAACTAGAGGATAAGTCCAGTCCAGACTGCAGAATCATACACAAATAAATCTAAATGATTGTGACTTCAAGGCACTCAGTTTTAGGGTGGTTTGTTACAGAGCAATAAATTTAACTTAAACATACTCTTTTATACAAAGATCTCATTTAATTTCTTCTGACCTTGTGCATCTAATTTTAAAGCAAAGTACTATGAACATTTTTGTGATGAGATCAACGGAATTTTTAAATGTCACATTTTTTTTTCCTGAAGATAAATGAAAAATATATAATAGTACTCAAATAAAACTTATGTTTAAACAAATACCCAAAGGAGAACCTCTGAGGTCACTCTAAAGATTACTGTGATAGTACAAAAAGGTCTCTAAAAGATGAATATTCAGATGAGGATATGTAATTTTCACTTCTTTTTGTTTAAAATTTAAATGATACCATCCCTTTTTCTTTCACTAATGGAATTAGCCTAATCTATTTTTAAAACTGGCAATAAAAAAAGCTTATAAAGTGTTAAAAATAGGACACCGATGACTGAAAAATCACTCTAAAGCTAATTTATGTACTCTGCTGCTTTTTGTTGAGAATGTGAAGTTTTATTGATCTGTGAGGTTAATATGGATTGGGCCCAAAACAAGTTCAATATTTAACACTGAGGTTCATTATATTTTAGATACCAAGAGAGAATCAAAGTACTATTTATAATACTGTGAAACAGACAAATATAAAGCAATGCAGTACTCAGATACAGATTATAGAAAACCATGTAGTTAATCAGAACATTTCTAAAACATGACTTCTTTCAGTTGGTTTCCTGGTATCCCTCCACAGACTAATTCAATTGTTTTCTTAAATTTATTCCTGTATGCCAGTCTTGTTCACCAGTCTCCAGAGCAGTGCCTGGCCCATAGTACACAATAAACATTTGCTAAGAGAATGTGCTTATTATATACAATTCTATTACAGTACTTAACCATACTATCTTATAGTTACTCACGCTACCAGATTGCAGTGTTTTCTAAGAGCAAAGCCTATGTGTAATTCATATTGTTGTGCCCCTTACCTAGCACAGGTCTGTCATATAGCAGGTTTTCAATAAATTTTAGTTATAATTTTCAGTCTTCAGTTTACTAAATTGAGCTAGTCTTATTATGTCGTCAGGACACTTTATGAAATCAGCGAATAACTAACCTTAGATAGAACTAATAATTTTCAACTGAAAATAATGGAGTATGTGTGATACATATGGGGGAGGAGAGGAACCCTACTTCTTTGTATGAGCCTGCACAAGTCTCAGCCTGACCTCTGAACTACAGGTTAGATCCAAATTAACAAAACAAAGGCTGAGAGAATGGAACTAAAATCTGAATCACTGGCACAGGCCTCAAAAACCTAAAATCAACAAGATCTCAAGAACAAAGCAGAGATTTGAAAAACCTCTACAAGTCAGACTAATCACTAAGAACAGCATATGTGCATGAGAGCCCAAAACACTATAGCAAATGTTTAGAGAACGAGACTGAGATGTGAACCACCGCCTGCCCAGACACGGCTGACAGAACTTAATGTTTTGGCTTTAATTGGTCGACTGCCCGCTCACACCAAACATCAACAACATTCCCCAGATGATTATAATAGGGCCGAGAGGACACACAACATAACATGCATAACATCCAGAACACAATAAAAAATTATTCAACATACAAAGAACCAGGAAAATGTCTTTAACTTTCAAGAGAAGAGCTACTGCTCACATGTCAATTATGGGATGGCCCAGAAGCTGGTATTACGAGACAAGGACTTTAAGACAGGAATTCTAACTATGTCATTATGAGGTGACAGAGATGAAGTTAGAGAAAACACACTGAAATGAAGTGAACGATAGGAATTCTCGTAGAGAAAAGAAACTACAAACAAACAAACAAACAACTAATGGAAATTTTAGAATTAAAAAATACAATAACCAAAACAAAAAAACTCCCTGCGGTGAACTGCAGAATGGAGATGACAGAGAGAAAAAAAAAAAATCACTGAATGTGAAGATAAGTCAATAGAAAGTACCTAATTTGAAAAATCAGGGAAAAAGATTGAAATAAAATGCAAGAGTCTCAGGGACCTGTGCATCTAACATACACATAACTGGAAGTTCAGATGGAAAAGAAAAAAACACTGGAGCGGGGAAAAACCTTTCAAAATTCTATATCCAGCAAAAATATCCTTCAGGAATGAAGGCAAAATAAAGATAGTTTCAAGTAAAGGAAAACTAAAAGAATTCATTGCCAAAAGACTTTTTAGAAGAGATGTTAAAGGTAGTTCTTCAGGTTGGTGAGCAATAATACTGGGAGGAAACCTGAAAAATCAAAAATAACAGAAAAACAACAGAAATGATCAATAGTTTGGTAAATACAAAAGATTACCTTTTCCCTCCAAATTCCTTTAAAATACTTATGATTGTTTAAGGCAAACATAACATAACATCATTTGGTGGGGGTTTTCCATGTAAGCAGATGTAATCACAAAGATCAGTGCAGGGGGTTGGGGGGTGGTTAGGAGGAAGAAGAATAAAATCCCACCAACATATACAAGTGTTTATAAAACTGGGATGTGAAGAAGGCTTTTTAAGCACCACAGATAGGCAGAAACTTAATATGAGAAGTTTAAAATTTTAGTATCACAACCATAATAAGATATTACCTTACACCTGTCAGAATTGCTAGAATCAAAGAGGCAAGAAATAATAAGCATTGACGAGGATGTGAAGAAAAAGGAATACTTGGGCTGTTGGTGGGAATGTAAATTGGTGCAGCCACTGTGGAAAACAGTAGGGCAGTTCCTCAAGAAGTTAAAAATAGAAATACTATATGATCTACTAATTCCATAGGGTATTTACCCAAGAAAACAAAACCACTAATTTGAAAAGATACATGCACCCATGTTTATTGCAGCATTATTTATAATAATCAAGATATGGAAGCAACCTAAGTGCCCATCGATAGATGAATGGATAAAGAAGATGTGGTACACACACACACACACACACACACTGAAATATTACTCAGGATAAAAAAGAATGAAATCTTGCCATTCAACAACAACATGGATGGACCGAGAAGGTATTATGCTAAGCGAAATTAGTTAGAGAAACACAAATACCACATGATTTCACTTATATGTGTAATCTAAAAAACAAAACAAAGAAACAAAGAGACAAACAAAAAAACCCAGATTTATTTTTTTTTTTAAGATTTTACTTATTTATTTGAAAGAGAGAGGGGAATTCTTAATCTCAGGAAACAAACTGAGGGTTGCTGGAGTGGAGGGGGTTGGGAGGGATGGGGTGGCCTGGGTGATAGACATTGGGGAGGGTATGTGCTACGGTGAGTACTGTGAATTGTGTAAGACTGATGAATCAAAGACCTGTACCTCTGAAACAAATAATACATTATATGTTTAAAAAAAGAGAGAGAGAGAGAGAAGATAGTAGGAAAGGAAAAATGAAGTGGGGGGAATCGGAGCGGGAGACGAACCATGAGAGACTATGGACTCTGAGAAACAAACTGAGGGTTCTAGAGGAGAGGGGGGTGGGGGAATGGGTTAGCCTGGTGATGGGTATTAAAGAGGGCACGTACTGAATGGAGCACTGGGTGTTATACGCAAACAATGAATCATGGAACACTACATCAAAAACTAATGATGTAACATGGTGATTAACATAACAAAATAAAATAAAATTTAAAGTCACAGCGAAAGTGGTACACATGCTCTGATTCTATCTATATATAGAAAATTCAAAACAGCACAACTTACAGTGTTTTAAGTCACAATAGTAGTTACCCTTCAATAGTGGTAGATTCTAGAAAGGGGTTATGCTCCTGGGCTGCTGGTAATATTCTGTTTCTTCAGCTGACTGCTGCATGGATACATGGTGGATATTCACTTTGTGCAATTTTATCAAACTACACTTAAGATTTACGCACTTTTCTGTTGTGTGAGTATATGTTATGGACTCAATCAAAATGTTTATATAATGCATATACTCATTGACCCAGTAATCTAAACTTTCAAAAAAATATACTATGGAAATTTATCAAGTATGGTTGCAAAGATTTAGCCATAAGATGCCAATTTTAGCCTAAATTTTCAACAACGGGTGACCAGTTAACAAATCTTAATACCTCCATATGATGGAATAACATTTTGGCCATCAAAAGTAATCCTATAGGTAAATATTTACCAATTTGGAAATGTAGTCACAATATACTATTAGGTAAAAAGAATAATATATATATTATTGGCACTTATTATATGTTATGCAAATATGAATATATATGTACATATCTGAAAAGATATTCACCAAGCTATTGAATGTGGATGATAGATTTGGAATGTTCATATTCTCTATCCTTACCTATAATTTACATTTCCCATAAAAATGAACAGCTTCTGTGATAACACATTATTTCTAAAACTTGAGTTAAATGATCTATAGTATTGCATGGAGAAACATTCAATTTAACTATTACCTTTCTTTCAGTTCCCTTTGCAACACCCCAAAA